TTTCCTTCCGGAAAATACAAGGGTTCCGGACAGGCATCCGGACAGGGGTTCCGGACCGGTCCGGATATTCCGGAATATTCCAGGTTTCCGGAAGTCCGGATGTCGCCGGGAAGTCCGGGGTCCGGGGTCCGGATTCGGTCCGGAGTCCGGTCCGGCGTAGCTATGAAGATATCCACAACTCCAAACTTACAGAGAAGTTCAAAGCATTATTATTGCCAGATCCCCTAGGGTCTTAACCATTTAGGAAAACTGACAGTTAATGAGTCTGGCCAGCAACTCCAGCACTTAAATCTAATCTGGCAGCCGAGTAGCTGAGAGGAGTAAGCAACACAAGACCTTCACAGATATGCCACAAATCACAAACAGAAGAAACAGAAGCTAGCCTACCCACAGTTGTCAGGATCTAAGTCAAGCAGGCTAACTTAGGCAGGGGTAAGGGGTGGTACATCCTTCCAAAAGGAAGTAATCAATGCCATCCACTTGGGCCTCCCAGCCATAATGGGGAGGAGCGTGTGTGTACCCTTATTGCATTCATTATTGACTTGCCGGGGAAATAGGAACTGGACTGCTGCTCCCCAGAAAGGTAGGAGCCAGAACCGGGAGGTTCTGTTTTCTTTAAAATAATAATAATAATAATAATAATAATAATAATAATTGAGATATATGTCAAAATGTCCCTAAAAGAGATGGGCACAGTGGAATGACCTTTTTGTTACATGCCCAGTTGGGCGATGTACATACAAAACCGAGGATCCGCAATGTGATAAAAAGGACTGAATGGGCGATGCAGTGCAAGTAGAATCTCAACAAGCAATGTGCATTCCGATACATAAAAATGGTGCTTTATAGCGCAGGGAAGACTTAGATACAAGACCTGACCTGACCGGGACTGACCCCCTTTCACGTAGTACAAGAGAGCGAAGCAGAATGCTAGAATACTAATGACTAGCCCAATCAATGTTTCAAGGCAGACCAAAAATACATCATGCTTATCACAAGGTGTGAAGGAGCCTGGCGCTATACACAGGAAGGAAACGCCAGGTCCAGACATACACAGACGAAGAGGAGGGGATCAGACAAAGAAGAGGGGGAGAGGTGGGAATGTCGTCAACACCAAGTCTTTGTCACAAGTCCCAAATAATCCCTCGTCGAAATGTCTGAAGCCCAAAAGTCGAGTCTGGATCCAATGTCACCAAGCTCTCTCTCTCTCTCCTTCTCTCGTAGTCTGCTGATGCAGTGAAGTCAGATAACGAGAGGGTGCGAGGGAGATGGTGGACTGAGAAGAGGAAGAAGAAGAGCTCTCTCTCTCTCACGAGCCAGGTACTAACCTGTGAAGTTGGCGCGGTGCTGCAGGTACCTCGAAGACGAAGCTGGAGCAACGGCGCTGCAGGTAGGTACTCCTGGCCTCCGCCCAATCTCTCTCGCTCTAGTACTATCCTAGCTATGGCGCCCAGCGCTGAAGACTACAGCTACCTACTGACGCCCAGCGCTGAAGACTAATGCTAACGCTACTACTACTCCTGCAGCACTCCCTCCAGAGTGCTGCTCCCGGATCCTGAAGACTACTGACTGCCTCCTGCCTGCCTGGACTGCACGTGAAGTGCCTGGCCAGTCCCTATGAACTACCCCCTGCCTGTAGGGCGGGCCAGTCTTATATAGTGCTGGCCCGTCCAGGAGGCTGCTCTTGCCAATGCCCAAATGTGCTAGACCCTGAGGAAGCTTCCGGGAAGTTTCCAGGTAGCTTCTGGCTAAAGCCTGAGGAAGCTTCTGGGAAGTTTCCAGGTAGCTTCTGGCCAAAGCCTGAGGAAGCTTCCGGGATTTCTGGCTGTAATCACTCGGTTGTCTTCTATGAATGAATGGTAGGACCTGTGTGGAGAGAATTCACAGTTTGTGTTCTGTCACTTCGCTCCTCTGAGTCTTCCGCTGCGTTTCTTTCTGTTGGGCGGTGTGATACTCCACTACCTCTCCCCTTCCTACTGTGCATGTATGGGTGTGTATGGGAGTTTTTGTGAGTGAGTGTTGATAAAACTTCAACAGACAATCATGTTCATAACAAAGGCCTATGTGAGCAGAGTTTGGGGCCCCGTGGGAAGCTGCTGCACACAGCATCGTCAACCAACAAGTAGGGCCCAACCCCCGGGTGGTTGGAGATGCTGGGGCCCAGGGATCAGATGCTGAGGCCCAGGGGTCAGGCAGTTACGCCCCGGGCACATCCCAGAAGGAGGCCCAGGGTGCAGCCCATCCAGCCAGTCCGCAAGCCTCCCAGACGGCACAAAAGGCCGTGAGGCCTACTCGCTGCACACATTCTGACTGGCTGGACGGCGGCAGTGCTGCTGGAGTGCTCACTGGCTGAAGAGAGCCGGGCCAGAGGGAAGAAGGCGCTGGCGGGGCGCCCGAGGAAGAAGCTGCGAGGGCACAGCTGGCAGAGCACAATAGCCATAGCCGGAGGACAAAGGCAGAGGTCCTAGGGAGGAGGGACTGTGGAGGAAGTCAGGGAGCAGGGGCGATGTGATGAGGTGCTTACCTGGTGGAGAATGAGCAGACTGTTTCACTCGGAGTCTTCATTCGTCACCCGGCAGATGTTCTTCATTGCAGACCCGTTGCAGCTAGGAGTCTAGGTCGATAGGAGCTGTCCATTTGTAGTCTGGGCGCCGAGTGCCAAGTCAGGCGAGCGACATTGTTGACATTGGTGCTGGAGGTGAGAAGAGGGCTTTGCTCAGACTTATTTGGTGTTATCTCGTGTTGCAATCTGCTTTCAGTTCAGAGTTATCTGGATTTCTATGCAATGCTGCAATCTGATTTATTATCATTTGCATTGCTCATTTCCTTGCACACTGGTTAGTTCTTGATATCCAGCCACGACACTCTTTTTGTTAGTTCCTACTCATAGGCATCAATGCTGGGATGTGCTGCATCGTACTAAGCAGAGCTGTCACCCTGCCTCAGCCAAAGCAGGCTTTTTTTTTTTTTTTTTTTTTTTTTTTTTTGAAATCATGCTCCAATCTATTCGTGGGGAGCAGCACGTGCTGGGAATCGGGCCCAGCATCCCATATGAAGACACGTACAAAACAATTTATGAACCAATTTTTGTTTTTTGTTTTCTTCCTTTTGTTTTTTTTTTTATCTACTCTATATTCTTCTCCCCATTATACCTCCCACTACCTACCTACCTATATCAGCAAGGAGAACTCATCCAGATGTCTTGATATTCCACTAGTGTTGGGCCTAACCCTGGGTGAGGGACGGAAGGGACAAAGGGATAGCCCCTACCAAGACCAGCCAAGGGGGCAAGCCGGCTACCCCAGCTGGTGAACACACAGCACGCCGCAGGAGGCTGTGGTAGTTCGAATGGATGACATGGGGAATCGAACCCACGATCTCCTGAATGCCGCTTTGGTGCTCCACCAACTGAGCTAGGCCGCTGACCCTTCTTTTCTGTTCTTGGTTTTTGGTTTTGGTCCATTATTTGAATCATTTCTCAGTTTGTGCATGTTGACCTTGGAGAAGGGCCATGGTAATCGTCTCTGTATAACTCCAATTTCAACTCTTAACAGATGTCTTGAATGGAAGTTGTCCATAGTGTCTAATATCTTACTGCGAGTCTGCCCCACATCTTTCTGGCAGCAGCAGGCAGCCATGGGCCTCAACGCTGCTTTTCACAGATTTACTGGTAATTAAAAGAGCAGTGCGAAAATGGTGGACATGCTTTCTCATGCTGAATCTTACTTTGCTGAGTCGTAGATGTCTGGCACCTTGCTGATATTGAAACGGCTGCAAAGTCACAAAAACGTCAAGAGAGACTTTAAGATGTTAGCGATACCCAGCCCATGTGGCTGAATGAAAAACACATGTAACTGCTCATGAACAGACCATCAGTTCAAATCCCAATGGAATCAGATGGGTACAACATAATATCCATAACATTAGGGGCTAACCCCCTCAAAAAACAAAAAACGAAAAGAGATGTAAGCAACGCAGATGCAAACAAGCAGTGTCACAGGCATGAAAAGTTTGGAGACACAAGCGAACCAACCAAACACGTGGCAAGAGCGTGGCCATGAGATGCTTCACATGCGATGCAGGAGACAGGGCGTGTCATCATGTCCACAAGCGGCAACACGGCAACCACATGCACACACACTGTTGCATACTCCAATGAGTATGGGCAGAACCAAGAATCAACCAATGTAGGATGAATATAGATGCAACGGAAGTCTGATAAACGGACTGACTCACATAGACTGACTCACATAGCATCACTCCACACACATTCAATTGTGAGATGGTGGGGTCTGAGCCATACATAGAAGATGCTCAGCCCCGTACACACATACACAGATGAATGGGGGAGGAGAGACGAAGAGGTGGGGGGAGGTAGACAGCACCGAAAGTCACCGAGGTAGAATCTGATAGGTCACCGATATGGTAGTCCAAAATGTCGTCCAACAAGATCAAAATGTCGAGGACCATAGGTCGCCAATGTCGGGGATACAGAGTCCAAATGTAACCGGTGTCTGAACTGTGATGTCGCCAAGTATCAACCCCAACGATCTCCAAGTCTCCAATCTGGTAAGTACCACAGTCTCATATCACCGAA